TTTTTTAAAGCAAGGTGAATAAAGTTACCGAATAGCCACTTTACTTCATTGCATATGAAAGTTGAGCAGTCTCCAGGTAGAAAACTCCGGTGATGCAGGGAGGAAAAGAAGCGACCAGGCAAAATGACCTTCTGTATTTGACAGTGCATGGACGGTATCTATCTTAAGAGCAGCAGTCTGCTTTTGTAGTATTGTAAGTGCAGGGTGGATATTTCCGAACTCAGGACTCTACTCGGCTTCCAAGGAGTTGTGGGTACATATGTGTGTGTGTGTTTTATATGAAAAAGTTACTGTAAAGTTTGCCACCATTGCGAGGTAAGATGATTTGTGCGTCTCCAAGTCTTTTTCCCATCCATGCGTTTATCTCGAATTTATGTCGCGGTGGGGGCGGGGAGGCAGGGGGCGGCATTACCAGGTGGAAGTTTCTGCTCCGGTGAGAAGCTGAAACTGCTGAAGTTTGCTTCTGCTTTGGCCTGTGTAATGTGTGTTTCTTGGATGGGCACTGAAGAAACAAGGGCCATAGAACCTGTTCTCCTTCTCTGTGGGGAGTCAGACAAATCTCTCCTGTTTGAACACTGCTTTTCAAGTTGGATCTATGTAGGAGAAAGGCAATATTTTATCGCACTTGCCTGCTAAATTTTCACGCTTACAATCAGAACTCAGTGTTTCTTATCAGGAAAGATGGTTAAAGGTTTGAGGCAAGGCCACCGTGAATTCAGAAGGTGGGTAGGGTTTCTTTGTGTTTGCCCCATGAAAATGCTCCATGAACCCATGAAGTTTTTGGGCTTCTGAGCTAGGTCCTTGTTTGGGGGTAAACGGGAGGAGAGTGCCACACTTAAGAGCTTAGGTACTTCAAAACCATTTTTTTTTTTTTTTTTTTTTTTTTTTGGTGAGATATAAATTAGACTATGTATGAAGTTCAGGAAAATCCTGCGGTATAGATAATCTAATTTATTTGACACTCTATAACAAAAACAGAGGTAACTAAGTAATAGGATATTAAATCAGTAAATTGTATTTGGCCTGATAGCGATAAACCCAACATTAGGCAAATCTGGACCAAGGGCAGTGCAGTAATTTAGGGGTGGGAGAGCAAGCAGCAGTCTGTTCTTGTGACTTCTCACACGCTTCTGCTCAGCCCACTGTTCTGATGGGCTGATGGTTGTGTGCTGGAGGCACAAGCACTGCTGAAGTGTCTGTTTCATTGTAGTCAAGTGGGAAAAGAGCACAAAGTTCCTTTCTTTGCACACGTACCAGTCACAGGTCCAGACCAGGCACCTTCTTAAATGTGGCATCTGCAGTGTGAAATCATTGTTTTCTTACTGCGTGCGCTCTCAGTCTCTGTGTGCGCGCACACGCTCATGTACATGTGTGTGGAACCCGTGGCCTTTCTCATGCAATGTGAACGCTTCACCTACTGGTTTCCACGCCAGCTCCTCAGTTCTTTTTGGATGGCTCTTGTCATAACTACATATTTCTGTGTAATGAAAATATATTGCATACTCCTCATCAGTCATGAAAGTAGCACTTTTATTTTGGGTTGTTCTGTATGGAGCCAGTTTGTGAAAGCTGTTTGCCAGCTTGCCTCTAGAGTCCCGTGAGCAGTGAACTTTTCTGTGGAGTGGGGAGGAGTGTCAGTCTCTCAGGGATGAGCTGATGAGGCGGGTGCCCTGAAGCTGTGTGTGTCACACAATGCAAGACGCTTCTGTCACTCTTCTCCACTCCCAAAGCTTTCCTCAGACCTTCCTCGCTCCCCCTGACACCCCACAAGCAGCTGGTCAGGGGGTAGCAGGCTCCTCAGCAGCTGGTGAGAAGGAGCCCTCAGAGCTGCAGCAGGGCAAGTACTTTGTTTACTTCCGAGCAGTGTCTGTTCTGCTAAAAAGGAGCAGTGTCCAATTTGGGTGGTGTCTGCAAGGTAAAAGTTTGTGAACTGGTCAGTCAGTGTCACCTTGCACTGGTGGTTGACAATAAGTGTGCCCCACGAGGACTTTTGTATTTCTTTTGCACTTTATAAGTGTCTTCCTCTTGCCCAGAGAAGTTGTTATACACTCACACATGCACACACTTACTGAGGAACAGTGTTGAATGGCCCAAGGACACCCATGCTCACACAGCCTTGTGAATTCTTTGCACTGAGCCCCTTTCTGTGCTGTGCGCTCTCATAATGAGGGTTTAAACGCTTCAGTTCCTGATCATCTGGGACTGTTTGAATGTAAGGACATCCATGACAAAAAGTCAAATGTTTTTTCAGAGGATTGTGCTGGTTGCTGGCAGAAGAGGCTGACGTTTCCAACGTCAGCCTTACCCTTCAAGTCACCTGTTTTGGTTTAAAATCAGCCAAGTTGCAGCAGAAAGTGGTGATGTCCCAGCCGATTCAGTCCTTGGCAGGGATTTTTGCACCGTGCTTTTGTTGGCCAGGGTGATCCAGAAGACAAAAGCTAGTTGCACAATGTCACTGTCCCCATCTTTCCCTACCACCTCATCGTTCGGCTTTCTTCAGCAGAGTGAAATCTTTTGAAAGAAATCTTGTTACTTACTGGAAAACTGTCTAGCTCTCTCCTGCTGGAGACACAACTTTTGGGACTCTTGGGCTTTAACGATGGTTCTCTTGGTGTCCTAGTACCTCACTTGGCAGCTGGCACGGAAATGTTCCTGTCACATGAGCTGTGGAGAAGGTGAGTGCCCTTTCCTGTGCGTCACTTTGGGGTGACTTAACACCACCATCTTTTGGCTTGCCCGGAGCATTTATTAGGGCCACCCTACTACTTCAGGGCTGGGGCTTTTTGTGGATGTCTATGCAAAAATTATTATTACTAGAAGAACAATGGTATTGCTAACATTCTCAGAATCTGCTTTCGTGTCTCAGTGAGCAAGAATGATAGAGTGGGAGATACAACAAAGGAGTTTGAGGAATTCTGTGAAAGGGTCCTACTAGTAATTAAAAGGTATTTCAGTTCCCCCAGTTTCTTTGACAGTAGAACTCTTGGATTTTCAGAGTCCAGAGGTCTTAGAGATCCCCTGGGCCAACCTCTTGCTTTCATAGATGGTAGTCTGAGGGCCACGTGGTTTGCTTTTGCCCATGGGCAACTGAGGAGGTTTGGAGGAACACAGATCCGTGGAGTCTCAGACCACCATCCCAGACTCCCTGGTTCATGGTGCATCTATAAAAGGCCAGAGAAATTGGATACGATAGGCCTCACTCTCTCTGGCACTTCCTAGTGTGGTCCTTTTTAATCCCAAGCCAGCTGGTGTGGGCACCGAGGTGTGTGCCAAGGAAGGTGTAAGGGGGAGCATTAGGCCGCCAGGGTCTTGCCAAGGGTGAGAGGAGGAAGGAGTGGGAGGTGGGGATGAGGGAAGAAGGACCTGGTGGACTTGTATTTGCACCAGGGTTGCAGTGATGTTTATTTTTGTAGTGAGTTGAGAGCCTTGGCGGTTCTGTTTTGCATGCAGTCGGACCCCTTTGGAAGAACCCTTAAGGGGGCCATGGGCTCTTTTATCCTGGATCAGCCAAACTGTTCATACCTTCACGTATGTGTAGTACGCTCCTTGTTTATAACAGGAAAAGGTATGGCTGTGGAAGCTGGTCATACAGAACGCACTGTGCAAAGTGTCCTCCGTGGGATGGGTAAGGCAAGGGGAAGAGCCCCCAAACCTGAGCACCAGAAACGGGCAGAGCGAGGGTTCTCTAGCTCTCAGTGGACTGCATTTACTCCCCACAAGGAAGAGTGGTGGGCAAGGCTTGCTGGGAGAGACTCGAAGAGCAGAGTTTTACTATAGGACACCTGCAGCTTGCCCTTTGGAGTGTGTCGCCCAGCCGCGGGCGTCAGCGTCCAGTGAGGCCCTCTAAGGTGTGCGATATGCGAGTGACACCTGTTTCTCTGAATCCCACTTCAGAAACGGCTCTGGAGGTCGTTCGCAGGCAGAGTCCATCCCACTTGGGTTTGGAAGGAACCAGTGTGTATTTGTTGAACAGAGCAAGTGTAAGTTTCCTCGAGGTTCCCACGCCCAGCTCGAAGACTGTTCATTGCCAAACCTAGTCTGTGGGGGAAGAAAGGCTAGACCAAGTGAGCGAGAAGTTAGAATTATAGCCTATTAAACAGCACACACATTTTTATTGATTTTCTGAATATACAGGAACCAGACTAATAAAGTGCCACTCACCGGGGCATCTCAGGATGAGGTTCAGTGAGCAGGCAAAAATGACGTGTTTCTCATCATCTATTCGGCCAGAAGGAATGCTACCGTGTGCTTGACACTGCTCCTTTAGTGTTGAAATGGCACCATAAAATCTCTTATTTGCTATATTCATTTGCTGAGTAACCCTTTCATCTTAGTGAGAATATGGAGTTCAGCCTGGTCACATCCCAGCTGTGTAGAATCCTCAGTGCATGGGAGGAGGCCGACTGGGAGGCCTTGCCCCCTGTTACCTGGGTCCCCCGCCTAACTACTGGTGTGGTCATGTGGACTGCGCTTATGGGAAACTGGGACCTTCTAGATTCTGCGCAATTGAATGTGTTTGACTGCTGTAGTTAACCACTGTATAGTGATTTACTATTCACTAGGTGTTTTCTTCTCCTTTTCCTTCTTCTCTTTCTCATCTTCTCGTTCACTTTCTTCGCCCCTTCCCCCCCTGGC